AGTTAATTAAATAATTAAAGGATAAAAATTTAAATGGTTAACTATTAAAGTGATATTTATATCCCTGGTCTCTAGGCAAATTCCCTCCTTTGTAGTTGACTCTCACTCAGCCATATAAGCCATGGAAGTGTTCCACACAGCCTTTGGGAAGTACAAGCTTCCCAAAGGGACAGAGGGTATAAATGTTCCCCATCAACAAATGTTCCCTCAGTTCTTAGTTTTACACCCATGTAAGCAAGTTATGGAACAGTTTTATCTCGTCAGTTGTGGGAGGAAAGGGAATTTTCTAGTTTTGCTTTCAACTTCAGAGTTCAATGGCACTGTGTGGCTACATGTTGTAATCTTCTTCTCATTTCCCTTCATAGAAACTGCATTTCCAAGAAGGGGTTGCTAGATTTGTTAGATTTTACTTTTGAGCTTTATTCCTAACTTTGCTGTTAGTGCACAAAAGATAGATTTGGGGACAGGGACCTTCCCATCCCATGTCCTATACTGAAATTGAAGAGACGTGCTTTATAGAATGCTGAACGAGCCACGATCAACAGCAAATGTGTTGTCTTGTCTGTCTGTGAAGAAGGCAGGAGAGTTGTGCAAATAGCTGAGTTTTTGATTCACTGTCTGTTCCAAAAATTGAAGAAAAGACACTCATTTAATGAAACCTCAATTTTTCAGCATTTTCAATTAATAGAAAATTCCAAAAATAAAAACACTTTTGGTCATACAGTACTTGGATGTTTTGTTCAACCCAAAAATAAAGGTTTGTTTTGATTTTAGGTATATTTAACCACTTCTTAATAAAAACCAAGGGAAGCCTGGGAGCTAAGTGCTAGATTTCCCTAGACACAGGTCACAAAACTGACAAGGACGAAGCCTTAGTGGTGGCTCCCTGCTTCTTATGTCCAGTAGACCAGGGGTTGGGGCACTTGGCTGCAATGTGGAAGAAATACATTTGACGCTGCTCTCTAGAGCAAGACTGCAGCCCCAGTGCCTGAAGCACCAGGCTGTTGGCTATTCTAGGGTAGGCCTCTCCAGGGCTTTTCTATACCGTGAGCTTAGGTCTATGAATTCGGTGTTAGGTCAGATTTGTAAAGTTTGTGTCTATAATGCCCATTCCCTCCTGTTGACCTAAAGGGCTTTTAAATCAACCCCTGTACTCCACCCGAACAAGTGGAATACAAGACTGTAAGATGGATAGAAACCTGGCTAGACTGTCGGGCCCAATGGATAGTGATAAACAGCTCAATGTCAGGTTGGTGGTCTGTTTCTAGTGGAGTGCACCAAGGATCTGTTCTTGGACCGGTTTTGTTCAACATATTTATTAATGGACTGGATTAGGGGATGGATTGCACCCTCTGCAAGTTTGCAGATGACACTAAGCTAGAGGGAGAGGTAGATATGCTGGAGGGCAGGGATAGGGTCCAGAGTGACCTGGACAGATTAGAGGATTGGGCTAAAAGAAATCTGATGAGGTTCAACAAGGACAAGTGTCGAGTCCTTCACTTGGGACTGAAGAATCCCAAGCATTGTTACAGGCTGGGGACCAAATGGCTAAGTAGCAATTCTGCAGAAAGGGACCTGGGGATTACAGTGGATGAGAAGCTGAATATGAGTCAACAGTGTTCCCTTGTAGCCAGGAAGGCTAATGGCATATTGGGGTGCATAAGGAGGAGCATTGCTAGCAGATCCAGAGAAGTGATTATTCCCCTTTATTCGGCTCTGATGAGGCCACATCTAGAATATTGTGTCCAGTTCTGGCCCCCCCACTATAGAAAGGATGTGGACGCATTGGAGAGGGTCCAGCGGAGGGTGACCAAAATGGTTAGGGGGCTGGAGCGTATGACCTATGAGAAGAGACTGAAGGATTTGGGTTTGTTTCGTCTGCAGAAGAGTGAGTGGGGATTTGATAGCAGCCTTCAACTCCCTGAAGGGAGGTTCCAAAGAGGATGGAGAAAGGCAGTTCACAGTAGTGACGGATGGCAGAACGAGGAGCAATGGTCTCAAGTTATAGTGGGAGTGGTCTAGGTTGGATATTAGGAAAAACTATTTCACTAGGAGGGTGGTAAAGCATTGGAACGGGTTACCTAGGGAGGTGGTGGAATCTCCATCCCTAGAGGTGTTTAAGTCTCGGCTTGACAAAGCCCTGGCTGAGTTGATTTAGTTGGGATTGGTCCTGCCTTGAGCACAGGGCTGGACTTGATGACCTTCTGAGGTCTCTTCCAGCTCTATGATTCTATGACATTTATGCCTCAAATTAAGGGCAATGTAAACACTGTGTATTGTAATGCGGAGTTACTGGCCTCCAGGTGGTGATCCAGAGTGCTCCGTTGTGAAGGCTTTGGTGAGCACTTGGAATGCCAGTGCTCTTCAGCCAGCAGAACAGGAAAAGACCCAGAAACCGCTGAATGTTCATTTCCCATTGAGAGCACACCAGCACAGCTGAGTGTGCACTCCCAGGATCACAAATGCCTCTAGCATGGCGCATTCAGGAGATAGTGGATCTGATTGCTGTGCAGAGACGGGAAGGCTCTATGTAGCCAGAGCTCCAAACCAGCAAAAGAAATGCTGATACCTATGCCAAAATTGCACAGGGTGTGGTGGAGAGAAGATACACCAAGGACACACAGCAATGCCATGTGACAGTAAAAGAACTTAGACAAGCATGCCACAGGATCAGGCTGGTTCTGAGCCACAGACATGGAAGTCTGACAACAGGCACCCCTAATCACCTACAACGTCATCCCATGAAGCATTGGGACCCTAGCCCACAATTCCAATCTGCTTCAGGGACTGTGGGGATAGGTCCCCACAGGGCATCACTGCTTGAGTTGATGCAACCTCTGGCTGTAAGGGTGTGCTCTGTCAACTATCACCACCTAGTGGGGGTATATAAAATTGCATTTGTTAAATCAGGTCCCCAAAATCGAATTAAATAACGTAGACCTAATTTTGTAGTGTAGTGTAGTTTCTCTTGGTTGAGTTGTTTCACTTGATAGACCCAGGGGAGCTGACAGGGGTGATTCCATGCTCCCAAAAGGGGCAGGGGGCTGGGGTAGCCAGTTCTTAGCGCTGCCCGGATCGTGCCCCCACACCCTAACCCTCAGCAGTTCATGGAGCATGGCACTCCATTTAAAGGGCCCGGGGCAGTTGCCCACTTTGCCCCCCTCCCTGTAAGCAGGCCTGATTAGGCCAGATAGTGAGAGTGACTTTATAGCCTCCTTTTTCTTGTACTGAAAACTCCTCTTAAATCTAGTATTTGCCTAGAATGCAGTATTTTCTACAGAGCTCTAGAACAAGCATGCTAATTAAGTTCAATTGAATACATAAAATTGCTGGGCTCTGTTAAACAATTTTTTTTCTACCTAAGAGGTGGGAAAAGTGATTATAATACAATTATAATTTAATTTCATATATATCTATATGCTAGTACAGGCAGTCCCCGGGTTACATGGATCCGACTTGCATCGGATCCCTACTTACAAACGGGGTGAGGCAACCCCGCACTAGCTGCTTCCCCCCAGCAGACCAGGGAGACGCGAAGCGGCTTTTCTCAGCAGACACCTCAGCTTGAGAATAAAGGACTGAGGGAAGTGAGGTGTGGGAGAATAAAACTGAGCTCTGGAGAAATGTTTGGCTAGAGTTTCCCCTACAATATGTACCAGTTCCGACTTACATACAAAGTCAACTTAAGAACAAACCTTCAGTCCCTATCTTGTACGTAACCCCGGGGACTGCTTGTAGTTTGCAATCCATACATTGTTTTGGGGATCCATTTCAGTGAAAGCTGCTGTTAACTTTAAGATTAGTTCCTGCTTTCATATTTAAAATAGGTAAAACTTGGTTGTAGAAGCACTTGGGAAATTTTATGTATTTTCCATTGTATCAGTAATATTACATTATAATATTGTTTTTCCCTCAGATTGCTTTGTCTGGCGTGTCAGTGAAAATAATTGAAATAATATATTCTGTTAAAAAGCAAGAACAGCTAACCCTTTGGGTATCTCTGCATCCCTCGGTACTCTCATTTAACTCCCTAGAACATTCATGGGTTGGCCACACCTACCCGTGCACACACCCATTGCACTACCTCCATCCATGGAAAATATAGATGCCCATCTGTAATGAATTAGTCCTCTGATCTTTATTTGTAGAGCTTTTGTTCTTCATTACATCCACAAGCTCTTTATGTAAGGAAGAAAATCTATACTTAAATTCAGAGTTTTACTAGAAATGAATATGAGCTCAAACTGAGGAAGATTAAACCAGTGTACAATAAAAATCTCTACTATTTGTAGTTAATACATGTGATTTTTTTTAAATATAACCCTTCTCCCTTCAGCTTAGAGAAACAGATGCAAACTTGGGAAAGAGCTCCAGGATCCTAACTGGAATGTTGCGAAGGTAAGGACAAGGTAGGGATATCTCTGTCTCTATCTCGGTTTTCTGGTTTTGTTTTTTTTGTTGTTGTTTTTATTATATCTCAACATTTGGCTAACTTGTATGTTTTTTCCTCACAATCCTGTTCTCTTGAAATTAAATGTTGATGTTGGCACAAATATTCCCTGAGGAAAAAATCACATGAGAGGGATGTTTTTACCATAGGAGTTTTGCACAAACTATGAAAAGAATATAGGTTGGCTGTAAAATAGTTTTCCATGGTATAACACTGACAGAACCCAGTTATAGGCAGGCAGGATTGAATCTGGAACCTCTGAAGCCTCGTGTTTGAACCGCTACTGTCAGAGCTGAAAATGTTGTGGCTCTTAGCCAAGGCTGTAACAGCTGGGCTGGGTGTCACTTAGGGTATGTCTACACTACCCTCCTAGTTCGAACTAGGAGGATAATGTAGGCATACCGCACTTGCAAATGAAGCCCGGGATTTGAATTTCCCGGGCTTCATTTGCATAAGCGGGGAGCCGCCATTTTTAAAACCCCGCTGGTTCGAACCCTGTGCAGCGTGGCTACACGGGGCACGAACTAGGTAGTTCGAACTAGGCTTCCTAGTTCGAACTACCATTACTACTCATTTCACAAACTATAGCGGGGTAGTGTAGACATACCCTGGGTATGTCTACACTACCCCGCTAGTTCGAACTAGCGGGGTAGTGTAGACATACCCTAAGGGATGAATAGAGCACCACAATAAACAAGAATAAGTACAATTGCATTGGTGGTATAGCCCCTTTGCTAAACTATTTGCTCTTTTTGTCCCAATCTAAAAATAGGCTGTTTAATGGAGCTATGATACCCATTATTCCTGGATATACACTTGGATGTAGTGTAATTTTTATGGAAATGTATCCCTGGGATTTAAAGTGAAGTGTGAAGAAAAAAATTGCAACACCCTAAAAATTTACTTGAAATTTTAGGAAAGGATGAGAGTATTATTCAGTGATTTCCAGCCTCATTTTGTTTAAATCTATGCCTTTACCAATGGTAAATTTTAGCCAGTGGAATCCCTGGACAAAGTTATCAATTCAGCAAAGCAGTACTCTTGTAGCACTATGATGTCTGTATTTCTAGACTATGGTTGAATCCATAAAGATGAGATGATAGGTGTCTTTTGGGCATGCTGGGAACGATGCTTTTAAAGAATAGGTTATTCACAGAATGTTCTGCAAGAAGTTCATGTAAGTTGACCCTTCCTAAGTTGCTGTACATAATGTGTGTGTAGTGTGTATTTGTTTAAACCCATTTGATTTTTTAAAAAATCCTAAGTTTTCGCTAAATGAGTGATTTAGTTAGTCTTGGAAAATATTGACAAACTGAATTTTATGTTGTTCTTCAGTGCAAGCTTTATCTCTCCATAAGACTCCTCCAGAAAATAGCTTTCTTAGTTCCTTGTATACCCAACTGACAAAGGTTAAGATAACTGCACTTTGTGCCTCTGTTTCACAGACTTCTCACATTTCCAACTCAGAACCATAACATAAAAAATGTTGTGATTAAGAGTAATATGTAAATGACACAAGCTAAATTCAAAATCCACAGAGAAAGGAAGTGGCAATTGAAAGAGATGCTTCAGTGCTTGTAGACAATATAAAAAACCCAAACCCATAGCCTCCCCAGGAAGGGTCCTGCGACATGAGCTGTAACAAATATTCTGCATATGTCTCCATTTTGTCAAATCTCATTAAAGGGTCTTCTTGCTTTATGTCAATTGAGTTGTCCAAATATCATTCATCATTTTTAGTGTAAAAAAATCATGCAGTTATTTAAATAATATCATATTAATGTTAAAGTTCAGCTGTCATTTAATAGTATGGCTTAATCAGACATAGCATTTAGGAAAAATAGTTTTTTCAGGCTTTACTTGGCTTTAAGGTTGGCAGATTCAAATAAGGATTTATGAGTTTCTAAACCAATGTATTTCTTCCATGTTTATGCTTCATGTACCTCAGCCTTGTGGGGTTTTTTTTAAACAGGACCCTGTAGTCTGTTATTTTCAATAAAATAAAGTATCTGCTCATATTGTGTTTGAATACATTTGCAAGTAATTTGGAGAGGCTAGAACAAAAACATATGCTGTAACCTTTGACTTTGTTTTGTGTTTGGGAATCATAGTTTGGAGTCCTAGTTTATAAGTGTTCCATAAACCAAATGAAAAATATGACCTTTGTGAAATATACTCGAGGCTCTGTTTTCTGACAAATGGATTATGTAGTCAAACACTAAAAAAGACATGTTTTTTGTATGTCAGAAGGGCAGCGGATATTCTCTTTCTTTGTTTAAAAAAATGCCTAACTCAATCACCCATCTGGTTAAAAGGTTAAGGTTTAGGCCAAGCAAATAGGGTATATCTGTGCAATTCATACCGATGAGCATAAAGAGTTGTCCATGTGGCAGTAATAGATACGGTAGGAGACTCTCTCAAAATATCATCAGGATATCTCAGGTTGTTATTAAAAAACATGTAGTATCCAAGAGAGATACAATATTTTATGACTATCATGACATAACTGCCTAGTAGAATCCCAGCCTCAGCAGCTTCTAAATGTTGCTTAGCCACTAGAGGAGCAATCACAAGAGACAAAAACAAGAAGTCTACAAAGAACTACATCAGGTGCAGGTATAGGAAAAGAATTACCATAGATTGGCAGTTGGGTCCTAATACTGTATACTCCACTAAGTATCACACAGGCATTTGTTAAATTGCTGAAACCAATAAAGAACAATGACGGAGAGTCCTATTTCACAATTATCACATAGAAAAGTTCTTAATTTGAACACTGTAATTGCTACTACTGTGTATGAATCAACTGATATTCTTCAATGATTTCTACACATGCCTTAGTGGTTAGAAATATGATGTGTTGAGTATAATTTCGTATTTCTATAGTTGGGAAAGGCCAGCCATCCATGTTTGTTAACATGATCAAATGTGGTAAGGAGTCCCATGTTTAGAGAGGCTTGTGAGCCTGAATGCAGATTTATGCTCCAAACTGACAATAAATATGCTTCAGCTGTATAGAACCTTTAATTAAAGGTGAGTAAACATCGTCCCTATTTTATAGTTGGGGACCAGAAATAAGCACAGGATAAGTGACTTTCCATAGCTCACACTTTGAATCAAATGGCAGAACAGGGACAGAATTTCTTATCCCAGTTTACTGCTCTAACCACTACAGGAAATGGCTGCCTCTGTCTCATATAACTCAGAATTCATTACCCCCTGCTAATTTGGCACAAACAGTTGCACGTGGGTATTACTATGAAGAAAGACCTAGGATAAATGTTTTAAAACTCTCTTCACTTAAATTAGAATGTAATCCTTTTTCATTTCCAAATATGCAAGTATTTTCAGTCTTCTGAAAAGAACGTAGAGTGAGATTGAATCTAACATGGCATATTGCATTTGAGACAGTTCACTATTAAGGAAGATGTCAGAACAGATTTGAATTTGTGATGATCAATCAGTGACTAAGGGACTACTGAATTATACATTTTGGTCGCCACTTATCTGTAGTTCTTGGCACCACCCAAAATGTAGTACAATGGTAAATATATAACATTAGATCAGCAAAATTCTAATTACGGTTTCCAATGAAAAGTTTCTCACATAAGATGTTCCCCCATCTGACTAATCCATCCTCTGCCTCCACACCTTCCATGATTTTAGCAGATCACAGTTTATTGGACAGATTGTGGAGAAGCTATACCACCATGCAAATGTGAGCTCTTCATTTTCAGAAATACTATTTCCTTGCTTTTCTTTTGTCCATGATCAAGGTTGTTAGCCATGAAATGCATTAACAAAGATTTGGGATATCCTCTTTGGAGGGTCCCCAAGCCATACAGAGTCTAATGGGAAACAATCAAAATCAAACAACAACCAAATACAAATTCCAGATGTGAATATGTCAGTAGCAGGTTCATTCAGCACCAACTCTTCCTCTCAGTTCCCTCATTTTAGGAAAAGTAGAATCCAAAAACTTTTTTCACAGCATTATGAAGAAAAATATCTAATATTCTCCAAAATGAAGCGCCATTCCCCCTTGTAGAACATCATTGTTTCTGACCCCATGACTCTACCTTATAATTCAGAATTTCATCTTTGAGATGTTATATGTGGTATATTGGAAAACTCATGAACATCTCCCCAGATAAAAGGACCTTTTAAAAAATTAATTGTAATAGTAGCTTCAGCTGATGGAAATGAGGCAAGTATGGAGTCTCAGGTGATAATTTATCTGAATTGCCAACACCTGTATGAACTGCCACCACTAATAAAACCAGAGTTAAGAAGTTGTAATGAGGCACACTCTTCCTGCACTGGGCAGGAGAGGGTTAACCTGCACTGAGGGCTGAGAGGGCCACACACCTTCTGCTTTACTGGACTTGCTCCAGCTGCACAGGTATAAAAGGGAGCAGCTCTGCTCAGTTGGGGGTGACAGCCGGAGGGAGAGAACATGCACAGCCTGCTTCAGGCAAATCGTAGTGAGAACCAGGCACAGAGGTATGATGAAGTGGGGGAGGTCTAGGTTGGACATTAGTAAAAACTATTTCCCTAGGACGGTGGTGAAGCTCTGGAATGGGTTACCTAGGGAAGGGGTGTAATCTCCATCCCTAGAGGTGTTTAAGTCCCGGCTTGACAAAGCCCTGGCTGGGATGATTTAGTTGGGATTGATCCTGCTTTGGGCAGGTGACTGGACTCTATGACCTCCTGAGTGTCTTCCAGCTGTATGATTCTATGTTTTGGTTGGAGATTTCCCTGCTGAGCCCACTAATATGGCTCTGGGTTGGGGTCCATTGCAGAGGAAGGCCCTGAACCCCCCTGCCAGAGGATGTCATCCCCTCCCGTCTTCTACTTCTAACCAGGGAGCTACATCACACTACAAACTGAGGCAAACTTACTGCCTCTCCACATATTGCCCTGTGAACTAGGGCAAACTTATCGTCTC